TCACGCATCTCATACTTTTAAAATGAATAAGCGAGTACTATACAACTGTGGGAAATAAACAGAAAACTACCCTTGAGCCATTCATGTGGCTGAAATGCCGTCGTTCTAAATAAGGCACGTCTAGACAACGACACTGAAATAGAGATCGGGGCCACGTCATACGCTCCATGAAACAAGGGTATAAAAAATTGAGTCCATTACAGAAGTTTTATGAATGTCGACGTCACAGCGGTCACTTTGATAAATTTATTGTTTAAAACGAGCAATATTTTCAGAGAGTAATGTACTCTCCCATGCGAAGTTTCCAAGAAGTCTAGCCACTGTCCACAGCCGGTGTAGCAGCTAATATCTTAACCAACGTTGTAAGCCGTTGTAAACCTTAAACAACCCAGAGGGCTCACCTTAATGCTCAGCATCCAATACTACTTCCGCCAGACCTCGATACTATGCCAAAAACGATGACTATGACAACTTCCTGTAATGAATAAATCAGTCGAACTGTGCATGCCCCCTCCGGTGCAACTCCATGTAAAAATTAGCGGGCTTCGTTTAAAGTGAAGGACCATATATAAAGTTCCTCTGCTCTTGAGGCGCATCATCAAACAGCTTTAAGCTAATTTCTTGCAGGCCAGTGTTTTCTCTGGTTTAGAACGTAGACGAGACAGAAGGCACCAAGCAGATGAGGCAATTCGAACTCCTCCATTGTGAATATCGGACGAAGGCAATGTTCCTCCCGGCAATGCCAGCCAAAAGCACTGCACATGACTGATTCGGCTCCTTCTGTCGTGGGATCACTATTATGCGTCTTGTGACCCCTGGTCACAATCTCGCTTCATTTGCTCTAAGGCTTTTCTTGACGCCCGAAAGCAGGATCCTCTTGAACGAACAGGCCATAGACTACAATCGTTCTTCATGAAATGCCACAGAAAACTCACAGGCTTTAAATGTTCACATTTCGATGAACGTTATGCCATGCAGAAACTTACAGCTTCGGTAGATTGAGTGAAAATGTATCAAGTAAACCCTCATCTAACACAACGTCTGAAACCGTTAATCTGGGTACCTTTGTCCATCTTGCTTGGTTCTCTTCAGATTTCGGTGGCAATGGCTCGTATGACATAGGTGAAATGGTAAGCGGCTGAAAACGGTGCATCGAAAAGATTGACCACGCTTGGTCGGCTTACGTTTTACACGGAGATCGCATGCCACAACCTAGACTATGTATATCGCAGTGTATTTCGA